GATCAAGAATCAGTTATAAAATATAATTCTGATCCACAAGACTCGTGTGAAACATAATCCAAACTGATTTTCCTTTTCCAGAGTTTTGATACAAAGTCTGAAAGTCCCGAACAAAGTGATGGCTAAATGTTTGCCAAAAAACATATATTACAAGAGCCGTGTTATGCGACTCAGTATGTAATGTATGTTTTGTGAGATATTCACTCGTTTTAAAAAAGAAAATATACATAAAGAAGCAAAAAAAGGCGAGCAATCAATCTCTGGTGTGGGTTATCATAGAGTTGTGTTATGTTTAAAGTTATGGCATACAAAGAGCAGCGGGAGTTATAATCTTAGACTATATGCGAGTAAATGTTGTTTTCAATTTAGACCATAAATTCCATTATTAAAGACTTTTTGGTGAGTCGTCAGTAGTTTTTATGCAGAATAAGCGAGAAATCGATTTTTAATCTAATTTTTTCTTTGTTTAGAATTTAAAGACTATTACAGAATATTCTCAAAATGCAAACTAATATTTATAAGACATCAGATATTACTGATAAATGGTGTTCAATTAGACACAACATCACATATACGCCCGATTTAACCAATAGTATGCCTTATTATACCCTAAAAAGTAACTCTTAGCACATTATCTGAAAACTTGACAAATGGCACAACTATTATAAGTTATACATTGTGTTTGTATAATAAAAGCGAGTTTTTTAAATTACAAATTAGAGATTTTGGTGCAAAATATATATTCTGTATATTCTATGAGCCAATCATTACTGAATCCAACTCTACATTAACAAGAGTTCGCAGAAATAGCGCTTCACTGCATGTATTAGTGTTGTTCGACAGGAGAACTGGCTTTTAGGCGATGCCTCACATCTAATACATTGCGAACAATGGGTTTGAATAGTATTTAAGAGTAGAGAACAGCTTTAGGCTAACTGTGAGACACATCCAAACATGTGATATACATATAGGGATGAGTTTAAGCTTTTTTGCATAATAATAAAAAACAATTCTAGACCAAATGTAAGACTTTATTGGATTACTTGAGACTCCATTATTTGCTTCATTTTCATACAAAGTAGGTCTGAGGTCTACGCAAATATACAGAATTAAATGTATAACATTTTTATTTAAATTCACAAAAATATTTTATTCACTGTTAACACAAAGATTGTATAAATATATTTAATATGCGCTTATGTGGGCTTATAAGCAGTGAGAGTTAAGTACACTTTGCTTGCTTTCTATTAAATAAGAGCTAATTCTCTATTTATTGCATACCTTTTCAAATGAAATATTTTGGGATAAAAATTAATTTTCAGAGTAACTTAAATTTGTGTATCAAATGAATCATTTGAAGCATTCAAATGAAAGGCATCGGAGGGGAAAAGTTGCCATAACTTAGACTTCAATATAAATGCTTTCATTATAATGTATGTCAACGCAAACGTCAGCACTTTTCTCGTCGGATAACAGTTACTCATAAGGAGTCAAATATAGAGCATTGAAATAATGCTCTTTTCAATGCAATGCATATACAGTACATAAGTGATACTGTAGTGTAATATAGACTAACTCTTGCCAACACTCATGAGGTGCTATCGGAATAGAGGACTCGGTGTAAGCCATGAACACATACTTACTGTAGTTATGACTGAAATCAATATACAGTGAGAGACTGAGAGAGTGTGAGCACTGAAATGCTGTGCAAATCAGTCGAGTGTAACGATGAAAAAATTTCCTCAATTCAGACCCAATATAAGCGCAAATATGATGCGACACTTCCCCTCCCGGTTAGGAAGTGCTCACTGACTCATTGCTGTGTTTTTTGACCAAAAATTATGCCAAAAACTCTCACAATTACCAGTACCATTTTCTAATTAAGGAATTATATCAAAGAGTATAATACAAACCATGTATATTACTGGTGACAAGTTTGTGTTAGAATTAATTTATTCAAATTAGTTTAGCTTTTATTAGCAATAAGTGTGGAAATTGTGTTTTCTATTCTTTGTATTATGTTGAATGAAAAAATCTTAGTTTCATATAATATAGGAAATGGGGAGGCATTACAGCAGAGATAGTGTGCAATGAACCACAAAAATTCATTGAAACCCTTAGATATCTAACAGCTTTAGTCATGATTTCTGTGATATCGATGAATATTGAGGGCCATAGAAGTGATTCGCCGTTTGAAGTAAATATAACACAACAGACTATTAATGCTTAACTCAGTCTCATACGACTTGTGATTTAAAGTCACTTCAGATAAAAAAGTATACTTTCCTGACTACTGTAGAATAAGTGGAGCATTGCTTTACCATCCACTTCAAATAAGTATTTAATAGAATAGTGCCTTAAAATAGCAAACTTTGAAATATACGACAAAAACTAACAAAGAGTTAATCAATAGATCATAAATAAAGGGTAATTGAATGCTGGAGTCAAATAGATTTTGATGACCACTATATCAGCTATCATTGAAATGGTTGTAAATAGAAATGGACAGACATATTGCTGACAAATCATAAAAGTACTCAAAATGCACTTCTATTACAAAAGATATTTTTTGAGTACTTCTTAACAAACGTTTCATTCATAAGTGTTTGTAATTTTTGAAAATTCTTTATAATAAAGTATGGCACAAGTATTTTGTGATTGTATTCATTAAAATAGATATTCTTTCAATCCATAAAGAGATAACATTTGAATTACTTGTAATAGAAAAAGAATAGATTCTTGTGTTGAATCAATTCAATGGATTTGTTATTCAATAAAAACAATTGATTTTTAGTGATCCAAACATAGAGTGTAATATAATATATACGAGTATATGAATGAATGAATGAATGAATGAATAAACGGATGAGTGGAAAGGCACTCAAAAGAGTTATGGAAACTGAAGACAGTTTGCAATTAGTGGCGGAGAGTGAGGACTAGACTGAAGAGGAAATGAATACAACCTCTGGTGACTTAAACCGGAATTACGGTCATAAGAGAAGCCCTGAGAAGAGGATCCAAATATGAAATAACAGAGAAATATGTGATGAAAGCCAAGAATGTCTTTGACTAATACAAAGCTGTGCTCAAGACTGGTGTATAGTATGGTATAGTATGGTATGCTATGCTATGGTATGGTATGCTATGGTGTAGAATAGCTGACGAATACTGAACAGTAGTATACCGTAAGACAAGTTTAAATGATATTCTCAATGAGCGTTTGGGTGCACATTGTGTGCACACAATCCCAGTGCACGCAAAATCAGATCTTTAGTCTTTGTGGTACAAAATGAAGCCTTTATTTGAAGTGACATTTTTGTGACATTCAGTGCATCACAAGTGAACATATCTATACATTAATCGCTGGTATCTCAGAGCCTCCAGATATGAATAGACGACGAATTCACCGAAATTTGTTATCTTTAAACTTATTAATGCATAAAATTACTAATGTTTTTAGACTCAAATATTTTTGTTTTATTGAATATTAATGGAGTTTTTAAATATTCAGAACAATTTAATGCATTATTTTAAGCAATGAAAGCATATATTGTAAAAACTCTAAAATAATTAATTATTTAGGAAACTCTCTAAAATGTAAGGCATTTACTATAAGAGTAACAATAAAATCTCATTCAATGCAAACATAAAAATTCAAAAAATTGTATAAAAAATTTATTTGCTTTATATGAGTCATGCGAACACAATATGTTATGCCATAGAATATAATCTCAATTTAGACTTAAAGCACAAAATTTTTGTTCAAATATACAAAAAATAAAAAATATTTTCTCTATAAAAGAGTATATTTAAGGAAAGCATACTTTCATGACTGTAGTACAAGTGAAGACAAACTATATTTCTCTCGACAAACAATTTTTGATGAAATTATATTATATTTCAAACATTTGCCCAAAACTATTGTACCTCTCATTCATTCTCCCGACTCTTCAATTGATTAAATATTTCCATCAAATAGCAAAACTCATAAAACAAGTCTTATATCTTATTGTCATTTAAAAATACATTTTGTATATTTATAGCATGCATTTACATTCACTCAATATTCCGTATATCTTAAGTAAGTCATTAATTTTATAAATATTAAGTCGATATCATTTTATTATTGATATATTGATCGAAATACAAATATGTATTCAAATGTAGATTATATTATGATAATGTATAACATTATAAAATATGTTGTGGCATAATAATGACAACAAAAACTTACCTCACATCAAGTTTTGTCTATATTATTTAAATTTAATCAATAAATTGTATACCTGAGATTAAATGTCGATAACCTGTAATGAAATTAGAAAATAATTTAACACGAGTGCTGGCCATTGTTATGTAGCCCAATGTAAAACCAATTAGTGTACTACACTATACATGTATACACTATACCTGTACCAGTACAGATAAAGTTAGCATATCTTTTGCTAAACTCATCCATGATTGCTGACCGTCTCGTACAGTACAGTATTAATAGAAATAATGAGAAATACATTGAAAGTATCGCGAATTACATATTGTGGGCAATGATAGCCTGGGGTATGGGGTGTGAGCAGTGGTGGCGGTCCCCCAATAAACACGATGGCCATGGATTCGGTTCATCGAATCCGGGATCGACTCTCGACTCTAAGTATTATTTATTGTTGAATACATTTGTTGTGATCAACACGTCTTTCACACAATTATTAAGATCTGATCCAAAGACTTAGGGGTGGACTCAATAACGATCTTAAGATTGTAATTATTCGTTGATTTATTAACTCTTATGAATAGAGTTCAAGAAATGGCAACACTTTCAGCGCTTATAATAATCACATCAAGAATAAGACATTTTAATAATCTTGATAATCTTAATAATAATTTTAAATCAGTAATAAATAGATAATAATTGTTCACATAATATATATTTTCATAAATGTTTTAATAATTTATTTCATTTTATTTTTACATAAAACACAATCGATTAGTGAATTGTATGAAAACCTGTACACTATTTGACATAAAATTAAGATTTGTTTAAAATTGGATTTAGTGTTGTATTTGTTAATTATATCAATAAATAAAAGTATTTACTCTTTGTTTGTGATCCTAAGTCATGAATGAATTGATGAAAACTAGATTTGGGAATAAAAGATATTTATGTAAATCACAGTTAAGGAGATATTTATAATAGATATTCGTTTCCATTGTAATGATTGTTTGGCATCTCTTTTGCTTCATATGATTGCATATTCAGACACTTTTGAACCAAATTATCTGTTAATCGTTGACAACATTTATGCCGTTTGTTGTTCAATACCAGTATTTGTATGAGTGTTGAAGTGATGGCACTCTTTATAATTGATAAATGGATTCTCGATTGCAATTTCGAGACAATTTACAAAACCATCCAAATGTTCAATTTCACAATTCGTTCAAAATTTCTTTAGAAAAGTATTTGATATATAAATGGGGAAACATTTGATGAGATATTCATTTATACACAATATTCACAAATAAAACACATTTCTATATAATTATTAGCATCTCTTTGTGGTCGAAATGGGATTCAAATGAATACAAGTATTGCTCTTGATTTTTGCTAAAAAGTCAAATATTCAGACATTCTTTGGTTATTATTATACAAAAAGCACAGTCTGTTTGAGTCAGTAGTCTATTGAGGGGTTGAGTTCTAGAGAACGACATCTTATATATCATATATCACAGCAATATTTCATAAAATTATTTAATCCGAAAACAAATGTAGATTTCGATAAGCGATGTATAGTTTGACCAAATGTTGAGCACAATTCAGGAATAGACTGGCGTTTAGTAACACAAAGTCTCACATTAACACTGCAGACACACGAAAGTCAAACTGGAGTTCCGTTCGACACATCATTTGGATGTCCAGTCGTTTGACATTTCTTTGTAAACAAGATATCAAATGAGTCGTTGAAATGGCAATGAATAGTGAATGCAAACTTACGGCTTGTCTGACCTGCCAGGCCTTCATCGCTTGTTTGTATTTATCAAACTCATGGCACCAATCGGAGTATATCTTCCGATATTCCGTATCCGTCGGCGCATTACATGTTTCTGTAAATCAAATGCAAACCATTTGTTACACCATATTATCAATTGAATAGTTGACAAACAAATCAATTATAACAATGAGTGATAACATACTTGGGTCGACAGTAATTGTATAACTGGAAAGAGTATTGGAGCCTAATTTACAGTCGTATCGACCGTTTTCTCGGTCACTAATACCGAGAATAACGAGTCCGTTGTCAGATGTGCGGACAAATTTGTCCCTTCGGGTGAACACTTCATAACCACCCGAACGATCACTTCTATAATACATCCATTTAATGGGTCCCAGACCTGGACTAATACTTTCAATATCTGGTATTTGGATCGGACAGGGAAGGTGTATACTTTGCCCCCAATTGGCTTTCATTTGCTTATGTTTAATACTGTTGTCACATATGCCTGGAGTTGCGTTTGTAATGTCCTGATTAAGGCTGTCATTGGAAAGCATTTAAAATTGTGTTACTTTTGTCACAAGATATACAAATATGTGAAACAAAATCTAATAGGAAGTGAGAGCACATACCCGATCACATATGGTTTGCACTCGGAGTGATCCCTATCCCAACCACAGTATGGGTCTTGTATACAACGAATACAGTTCTCGTATCGCGGTTTACACATAAGGAGATCGAACTGTCGGACCATTGAATCCGATGAAACATAAAGTGATTTATGTTTTCCTGATATTTCCATAGCTCTGATGGGTTCGGGAACTGTAGCCTCAAACATGTCAACCAGATTTGAATGGACTTCACCCGAACGGTCGTACCATTCGACCACTTTGTAGACCATTCCAGTGTTGGTTCCGCCGAAATAGACGATATATTCAATGCCATCGACTTCTAGTCTGTCGACAACCAAACGCGTGAATATAATATCACGTCTATAGAAGACAGGCTTTCCGTTGTCATGAGACACGGCTGAGTCCATCAACGGGTGGCCGCGGATGAAGTTGAGCACAGAGTCGGGCAACACTTGGGTGTCGTTGACACACGTGCCCGGCCTCGGCTCGGGAACTTTACTGGTGAGCACCGGTAGCCATGCGGACGAAGAGGTGGACTGTTCTTTGAATTTGCCTAAAAAGACTTCTTCTATTTTGTTGAGACTGAACGTACAAATGGCGGACCCTATGAGACCATTCATGGACGTGGAGAAGACGGCGTAAAACCTTTTGTTGTCGTCCGGGTGTTTGTAAATGCTTTGAATCTCATTGAAATAGAAGGGAAACTCCCCGGGAATGGAGCAGTTGAGACGGGCCTTCAGAAAAGAGGCCCAATTCTTGTTGAGTATGTTTTTGCCGCCCGTATCGCGTTTGCAGACGCGGGCCACTCGCGAGTAGATATTTTTGCCGCAATTTATGTATTCGACGGCACTCTCGCGGAAGAAGAAGTACACGTATTCTCCGATATCGAAAGAGCCCACAAAGTTTGGTTTGTCCAACCATTTCGAGTCATATTTCACTGTTCTCTTAAATGGCTGTACTTTTTGTCCTGTCGTCAGGTTATATAAGTCTGTCCTAAAGATAACAGTGTCTGCTTTCGTGAACTCTGCAACTGATCCGCTGTAGAGGCCGGGCAGGCCGTCGGGGTTGCCGTTCTCAACCCACGTGGCCGTGGCGTTGTCATCGGGATCAAACGGACATTTTGCAATACCGGTCCCGATGCCCGGGAAAGACTCGTGAGTCGGTAGTAATGATAAGTTTGCATTAATGACCCAATCTTTAGGGTTATGAGCATTAGTGCCACAAATGTATAACTTATTGCTATCACTGCCGATGGGCTCAATCACTCGGATGTGATTCCGACAGTCGTAAAGCTCTGACTTGCCTTTCGAGACACAGGAGCCCACATTGTTGGCCTCCAACGAGAGGGAGTCCGTCTCACATCTAGTCTTGTTTATATTATTTAAATTTAAACGATATATCCTATCCATGGCACCGACATACAGTGCATCCCTTTTAATGTCTAAATAGAAAGTCCTGTAATGAAATCGCCCGCAACTGAATTCTCGGACGTGTTCTGTAAAAATAAAATATCAAATCAATTAATGCAATGCTTTTCGCCAAATAGTGTGTTCGTCAAGAAAAATATATACAGAATATATATATATATATATACGAAATATATACAGAATTCATGGCAAAGATAATGAAAGCTTCAAAGCTATCACTTGTGCTAAGCGAGAGAGGGGTCAAACGCAGGGGTCATCACTTGCCCCCCGACTATATACTTTAAAACAAGTCAAATTTTATATTATTTAAATTTAAACGATATATCCTATCCATGGCACCGACATACAGTGCATCCCTTTTAATGTCTAAATAGAAAGTCCTGTAATGAAATCGCCCGCAACTGAATTCTCGGACGTGTTCTGCAAAAATAAAATATCAAATCAATTAATGCAATGCTTTTCGCCAAATAGTGTGTTCGTCAAGAAAAATATATACAGAATTCATGGCAAAGATAATGAAAGCTTCAAAGCTATCACTTGTGCTAAGCGAGAGAGGGGTCAAACGCAGGGGTCATCACTTGCCCCCCGACTATATACTTTAAAACAAGTCAAACGAGTTTGTGAGTTGAACGGGCATTAAAAAAGCTTATATACAGCACTCGTTTGCACAAAATTAAGTCATCAAAACTTCTAATTATATGTAAGCAAACAAAATAGAGAAATAGAAAAACTAATCATATATTCTATGAGCCATTGGATGGATGTTAATGATTATTGTTAGTTAAATAGAATGCAGACATCTATCAAAAAACATCTGTCCATTAGTTTCTAACTTTTCGCTGAACATTTGATCGCCTTTTCATATTTAAAGCCATTTTCAAAGTTAGAAAAGTTGAGCAAAAAATAATCAGATATTTATTTATATAGAAAGAGAGGGAACCGCCAAATATGGGAGAAAAAAATCCAATTCATTGTGATTTGAATAAAGAAATGCAACCAATAAGAGGATTTCCAATCTGGAAGAACTTCTCTCCCTTTCCCTCTCCTGCAAACACTGAGTCCAACACAGGGTATGCCATACAAAGACAGCTGTGGGTAATAAACATGGAGAGAGAGGTGCAAAGAGGAGGTATGGCATGAGGTATGTGTGAGAGCACCAGTACTGTAGAGAATAAAAGTACCCATAAGTTAATTCACACAAAACCCAAACCCAACTCTAGATATACTGCACTATACAGTACTATGTATTGAATTGTGTTTTTCTCATTTGTTGCTTTCATACCTCATCTCAAATACCTCCAACACTTGTCTTACACACCATTTCGTAAAATTACAGATAAATGACTCAATGATAAGAAAATAAATTATATTTTGAATTCCTTCAAAACAAACAAAAATGAAAATAAGTTACAAATGTATTACAAAATGTAATGATGGGCTCAACAACTGCTAAGAATTCATCTAAAAGAGTCATTTTAAAAGACTTGAAGACATTTCATAGTCTATGCAATACTTTCATGCATTATATGAGTATTGAGAGCACAGGCATCACATGCCATCCCAAGCCATCGCATCCGCGTTTATAAGAGCGTCAATCACTCGGGAAAGTAATGATTGATTACACATAAGTAGGCATAATATCAATCGCAAAGACATCGATTATTTGCCACTATTTTTATATAAAAGTTCAGTTCATTGTAATAACAAATAAAGCATTAAAAGCATTAGAAAGACGAGTGAGAAAAGGGAAGTGACTTTGATTTGGGTTTCGCGACAAAACACTCAATACTTTTTAAATTTATTGTATAACCATAGAGGAAATGAAATGACAATTTGATAGACAATGGCTTTAAGATTGAAAAGTAATAGAAAACTAGTAAAGGAGTATAATATACAACTGAGCAAGTAATATATATACAAGTAATATATACTGTACATATAACAATATATAAGATATAATAGTGTATAAGATGGGAATAACTAATAATGGATTAGTCGTGTGTTGGGTAAGACGGGTAATACCTCTGTGATGCCTAACGGCGTGCTGTGTCTCACTATTGTATTGATTCCAATGCCGTCTAAATCCATAGGAAAACGTTGATAATAGAGACAGCGATGCAATAATTGCAATAAAAAGTCTTCTCCGACAGCACTGGTAGGTTATTGTCAGAGCACACGTATAGCACAAAATCCTCATATTGTAAGCGATTAATATTGTATTGCTTTGACAGCAAAACAAAATAATGAAAACGAGATAAAAATATATTAAATATAATGTGAATGACTTAATCACATCTTCACACACAGACACAGACTATCACTTGAATGATAGCCACAAATGAGTTCATTTCAATCGTCAAACAGACTGTATATCCAATCCATTATTGAGTGGACCGACACTACAGAGCACCGGATGTATGGGATGTATGCGATGATCGGACACATTAACATATAAACAATTTGTGGATTGTTTGCAGCAAACGATTATAACAAGCATTCAAACCATAACTCAATTCATAGATATGAAGGTATATGTGATATACATTGAGCACAAATTGTTTGGAAACTCAAGTGAACACTAAATGTAAAAACACATGAATTGGTTGCGAACCACGACTTGTCTGGCAATGAATGGCAAACAATGAAGAGCTCAAAAAGAGTGACTCTAACTGTGGTGGAGAGCGTATGTGGCGTTAGGGCGGACCTCCTCCCGGCTCATTCCATGGGCTGCCTCTGGGCACCAGTACTACAGCCAGTACTGCAGTGCACTGGCAGGCGGTAAGTGAGAAGTGACTCCAATGAACAGCTCATTGAGTAGAAAATTTGCAGAACCAGTGCTCTGCTCGAGCCATCAGATGGCTATGAGATAAGAGATCTGTTAGAAATGCTCCACAAATATCACAAATGCAGAGCAGATAACACCACAAACCAGACAACTAGTGATCGTCTCACGAATACTGTGTTCACAATCAATGCCAATAAACATCGTTTCCATACAAGAGTTGCAAAGTCTTTGTGTTCTCGTAAAACATATCAACTATTTGTGCGAAAGAGTCGCCGATTCAAGTGTTTTGTTCGCAATCCGAGTGAATGTGCTCGAAATGTATTGAACGCCAGAGCACTGGCAGATCACACAACCCATACCTACGATGGCTTTGCGCATGAAATACACGACAACAACATTGAACTCAAGAGTACACATCTGAACACTGTTTCATACAGACTTATGCGGACCTCCTCCCGGCTCATTCCATGGGCTGCCTCTGGGCACCAGTACTACAGCCAGTACTGCAGTGCACTGGCAGGCGGTAAGTGAGAAGTGACTCCAATGAACAGCTCATTGAGTAGAAAATTTCCAGAACCAGTGCTCTGCTCGAGCCATCAGATGGATATGAGATAAGAGATCTGTTAGAAATGCTCCACAAATATCACAAATGCAGAGCAGATAACACCACAAACCAGACAACCAGTGATCGTCTCACGAATACTGTGTTCACAATCAATGCCAATAAACATCGTTTCCATACAAGAGTTGCAAAGTCTTTGTGTTCGAGTAAAACATATCAACTATTTGTGCGAAAGAGTCGCCGATTCAAGTGTTTTGTTCGCAATCCGAGTGAATGTGCTCTCAATGTATTGAACGCCAGAGCACTGGCAGATCACACAACCCATACCTACGATGGCTTTGCGCATGAAATACACGACAACAACATTGAACTCAAGAGTACACATCTGAACACTGTTTCATACAGACTTAGCACTGGATCCCAATGTATGGCCATAGAGTAGAGCAGAACCCAGTACTGTATATCAATCAATAGCTGTGATGTCATCAATCAATACCAGCAAAGAGAGTCGCATTGAATACCCAGATGAGAGAGAGAGAGAGAGAGAGAGAGCCGTACGTTTTGTGTCACATCCAACTCTGGTAGTACTGTTGGCATAACTCCCCTAATATTAGGAATGACCCGACGTTTAGATAATATATGGCACCAAATAATTTATTCGATACTCTCCTAACATAAGCTCAATTGTACTCTATTTGGGTTCGAGTACACATCCATTCAATCCAAACCAATGATCATTACAATGACTACACAACTAATTCGGTCTCTCTCTCTCTCTCTCTCTCACTCACTCACTATTTTAGTTCAAAAATTGTTTTCACTATTGCTTACATTATAATACAATACTATCAAATTAATTGAAAGCCACCGAAATTAAGGCAATGGCTATTTGAATATGATATTGCGATAGAATAAATAATTGGGTATTAATAGTATTAATTTAATACATAACTGATTGAAACACATACTGATAATAAGTTCGTATCAAATAATATAACAACTGAATATTTATTTGTATATTATGTAAAATTTAAATAAATCAATGAAATGTTACAGTTATGTAATTTATATACCGAATATATCCTGACCATTTTTTGTTCTTATCGAAGCAATAAATTTATAAGTCATTTACCTGTAGTTTGAGTATTTATATTAGGAAAAACATGTAAAATATTCAAAAACTTCCCTTCAGACTTATATTGTGATGAATATTATGAGTAAAATAAGTTATAATAAAATCAAGTTTTATATAAATTGTTAAAAAGTTCATGACTTAAAACATATCCATTCTTCAAATTAATTCTTAACATTTTGATATGATATTCAGAAAGTCAAACATAAGTCTTAATAAAACGTTTTGGAATTGTTATTAATATATACAACACAAGTAAACCCGATGTTTATCTAATAATGTATATACAGTTAATTGAGAGTCAATAATGATAACTTAGAGAGTATGCATTAAATTGATTAGAAATGTTGTGTTACTAAACCTAATATGAGTTTAATTTCAAATTAACAATTGATGATAGTTTAATAGTTGCGAATGTACCGTAATCTCAATTATAGCAAAACTGAACAAATGTTGAAGAATTTTGTACGAGAAGAATGTGTTTTGCAAACAAACATTTAATTTAATGCTCTCACGGATTGTTTAACAAAAGTTTTTGTTTCAAATTAGTCGAGGTTTTCGGCGCTTGAAATGCATTTCAAATGCAAATATAATAAACAAAATTAATGAAAGAAATCCCCAAAAAACTCATTGCGAGTCTGAATTTCAAGTCAGAAATATTTTATTTTACGAACGAAAATATTTTTACTTTGGATTTAGTTTTAACGAGAAATGCATTAGAATTGTAGCGGAATTACATTACATGAACCCGAATGACTACTTAATAATAAAGTATCGCTCAATAAATCGAAGTTCAAAAATAATTTATCAATTTCTACATTAACTCAATTGCATTTGACTCGACATTTGAGAAACATTTCATTATTTCATAAACAAAATTCTCGATTCTTTTCGACAGTTAATTCAAAATATGTTATAAATATGTTTTTTAATTGTTTACGAGACTCACACATCGAGACTAACAATTTCAGTCAAACATTAATGAGAAAAAAAAAATATATTTTTATTATTCATTCCGAAAAAATAAGTTCATTTACAATGAAATAAAGATTTAATGACTAAAAACTATTTATTATAACATTTTTAATGCAAAAATGTCAGAATATTTTATAGATTGGGTTCTTAATAATAATTTTAATAATTATTGTTTTCATGACATGAATTTATTCTGGAAAAAACCAAATAATTGGGCGAAAAAATAATCAAAGAAATTGTTTGTTTGCCATAAGAGTGGCGTTTCCTTAATAACACTAATAACACAATACATAAGAATATATCGCATGAAACTAATTCTTAATGTATTTCAACAATAATTAATAAATCAAATTAATCCACGCTTTTCCTTATGTAATATTTATAACTATTTTATATGTCATTAATAAAAAAAACTATAAACTCGGATAAATAGCGAAAACATTAAACAAAAAGAAAAGGTGTTGTTTTGAAATGATATTTGAAATGATATTTAAGTTTCTTTAAAAATGTTTAGCCCATCCGCTAAGTGTTTACAAAAAAGTACACTAATTTATAAACAAAAAATGATTGAGTTCTGACAGAAAAAATAAATGTTAAAAAAGTGTAATTACACTAAATTATTAAACAAGGAATTTGAATAAAAATTGAAACAAATTTTGGCATATTTTACTCACAGATCTTATTGACCACAAGAGACTATTAGACATAAGGATTGGTTGAGCAGCAAAAGGATGTGCACAACATTTGGCAGAGAGAGTCAACATTTACTAATGTGTATACTTTATACAACACGTCTCTCCACTCAACAAAACTTTGGAAATCAGTTATAGTGACAGAAGAGACAGAAAAGACACCAAAAAAGATAAACTTACGAAAAGAAGTGTTCGCCAAATGTCGCGCTAATGCACTCATAAATGTTAGGATACGTAAAGTGTAGGCAACACAGGGATGTGTCAATACCTGCTTTCTAGCCATACAGTTATATCAACATTGATTGCACTCGACTTTCAAACACTCAAACAGTATTATAGCAAACAATCTTTACACCGAAATATACAACATTTGCAAAGATCTATAAATCGACAAACTCTTGGAACAGTAATTAAAAGTAGTAGAAGTAGTAGATATAATATTTAAGTATATAATATATAAGATAATATATAATATATAAGTAGATATAATATTTCATATATATGGATGCATCCAATTATTTCACTTTCTATAAGTGTAATAAACTTTTGAACAAAATTTTTAATCAAAAATAGGATCAAGAAATTGTAAATTAAACGAAATGTGTTCAATACCTGCTTTCTAGCCATACAGTTATATCAACATTGATTGCACTCGACTTTCAAACACTCAAACAGTATTATAGCAAACAATCTTTACACCGAAATATACAACATTTGCAAAGATCTATAAATCTACAAACTCTTGGAACAGTAATTAAAAGTAGTAGAAGTAGTAGATATAATATTTCATATATATGGATGCATCCAATTATTTCACTTTCTATAAGTGTAATAAACTTTTGAACAAAATTTTTAATCAAAAATAGGATCAAGAAATTGTAAATTAAACGAAATGTGTTAGTAGATATAATATTTCATATATATGGATGCATCCAATTATTTCACTTTCTATAAGTGTAATAAACTTTTGAACAAAATTTTTAATCAAAAATAGGATCAAGAAATTGTAAATTAAACGAAATGTGTTTGAATTTAATTA